TAGGCTCTGGCGCAGGTTGTGCTGCACCTCCCGTAGCCCGGAGTCCGTCCAGCGTAGCCCGGAGTCCGTCCAGCTTCCGTTTTACCTGCCGTAAAGCGTCCATCAAATAAGGCCAGCTGTGAAATGGTCTTGTTGGTATTCCTGTGACTGAGCCTGGGTGTCACCCGTTGACGCCTTCAGTCTGTTAGACGGCACAGGATGCTTCTCTCCCATCCTTCATTTCTTCTCGTTACCATGCGCCAGGGCAGGTTTAGGCTAGACATCAGGAATGGTCGAGTCCCCATCCCTGGAGGGATTTAAAAGAAGGATAGATGAGGTGCTGAGGGACATGGTTTAGTGGTGGGATGGCAGGGTTAGGTTAAAGGTTGGACTCGATGATCTTAAAGGTCTTTTCCAACCAAAGTGATTCTATGATTCTATGATTCCAAGGTTCACCAGCCCTGGATGAGGGCTGTTGGCAGTCTGCTGTAGGTCTGCAGTGGGTTGCTTCGTTGTACAACACCGTTCATAACTCTGCCTTGCCTTTAACTCCTGCTTCGTAGGACTCTCTCCCAGCTGGGAGGGTGCACTGGCACCCTGGTCCTTCCCCTTATGCTCTTACACGCTAACAAGGACTGTCCGACTTGGGTGCCAAGTTTCCTAGGGCAGCTCTCTGTTGCCCCACAGTTCAGTAGGCAGTAGCCTCTTCATTCTTCAGTTCATCACGACTCATGTGCCAGCACCATCAGACCACAATCCCTTCCAGTTGGTTCTGTCTTGGCCAACAAGCGCGTGATGGTCCCCATGGCGGTTTTTATACATAACCAGGGAGACGCCATCGTACACCATTTTTCCTTTGGCCCTGAGCATTGAAGTCCGTTGCAACATATCAAGCCCCAGTATAGAGCATGATACATAAATACACTGTGCCTCATACAGTTCCAGTCTTGTGGGGCAGCTGCCTTCTCCCCAGATGAAAAATAATTATTTCATTCAAACACTCTGAGCCCCGTCTCTCAAAGTACAGCTTTATTCCACAGAAGGCTCTCAAAGCAACTCCAAAGAAAGTTCTTGACTGAAAGGCTGTGGGGATATAAAGCCAGATAAAAAACCATCAGCCTATTTTCTATAGTCCATTCTTAACTGTGTAATTTATAATCACTCCTCCTCACCTGGGAGCAAGCTCATGGGTGAAGCTGTATCTACTCTCTTTAGATGAAAAGCTACCATCTGACAGGTCTCAGCTATTTTGGCAGGAAATATGATCCATTTTTCATCTCAGGCATGCAGTTAGGTGCAAATTATGAACGCAACCCTTACGTAAGTTCTCCCATTTGCTAAGATTACTGCTTATTATCCTTTAAAGAAAATCTTATTTTGACATTCAGCTCCTGTCTCGCCTGAAGAAGGAAGGTACACCTGGAGAAGGAATGTACCCCTCATCTAAAAAGAAACCAATTCTCTTCGAAGGTACGACCAAACTGGGAATATAAAGCATATTTCTGCAGCATCCTGGTGTATCTGGGGTTCTGTTAGGCTGCCTGGAGCCTCCCACCAGAGATATAAAAGTATTCCAGTATGAGCTGTAGACTTCTGTTCCACTGAGCCATCTGTCTGGAGCTCTGGAAGCCATGCCCAGTTCTTCATCTCCACTGTCTGCCATGGCTTTGTCGGACATCGCAGCACTACAGCCTCAGCACACGTGGCTTGAGAGCAGAGCGCCAGCCGAGACAGCCCAACGGCGTGTGATCAGACAGCTCCTCTTACCTCACGCCAAAGGGGAATCGATGGAATTGTTTTGTTACACCGAGCATGACAAGTATCTCATTTTCCTGTCTGGCACTGCTCCGCTGGCAAAAGCCATGGGCTGCTGACTTTGCACTGTTCCTAAGCCTCTCTGAGACATCCTGTTGTAGCTCTACATGACCTAGAGGTCTATCAATAGAGTTTGCCTGTTACCCATGTTTTTCTTAACTCTTCCAATTCCTGTGTTTCTACCATCATCCCAATGCATCATCACATTTCTTCATTTTAATATTAGCGGTTATCAACAGGAATAGTCTTCCCTCCTAGATCCAACCGAGGAAGTATGCATCCCACTTCCCTAAGAAAATCTTTACAATGGTGCCCTTTTGGTGCCCTTTTATAAGATGCTAAAGTGCTTGCTTCTCACAAGCTGTACTCTTACCACTTTCTGAAGATCTGTACCTCTTACTATACCTATTCTACCTATTATATACCTATACCTTATTATACCTTATGCCTCTTATACCTACCTTTTATTTTGAATTCCATTCATTCCAGCTGGATCCTCAGTTCAGCTGGAACTCACTGGGTTGTTGATCTAACAGTGAAAGAGCTGGAAGGGCAGCATAAGAGGCTTTTCCCAGCCTGCTGTTTAAGGGCAGGCCAACTTATAGGCCAGGCTATATAATGGTGGGGATAACAGGGATCAGAAAT